TATGGGGAAGGTTAAACGATATGTTTCTCTGATTATAATGTTTAGAAAGTTCTTTTTTATATGACATATATTTCTCTCTCTCCTTCCCTCCTGCTACCTCCAATTGTATATACGTGAGGTTAGGGTTAGGTTAGGGTTAGGTTAAGTTAGGTTAGGTTAGGTTGGTATTTAGGTTAGGTTGTCTTCCACGGCACAACCTCCAACCAATTTCAATTTCAGACTTCAGAAAAATCTCTTGTCAGTGTGTGTGTGTGTGTGTGTGTGTGTGTGTGTGTGTGTGTGTGTGTGTGTGTGTGTGTGTGTGTGTGTGGTTGTATGTGTGTGTGTGTGTGTGTGTGTGTGTGTGTGTGTGTGTGTGTGTGTGTGTGTGTGTGTGTGTGTGGTTCTGTGTGTGTGTGTGTGTGTGTGTGTGGTTGTGTGTGTGTGTGTGTGTGTGTGTGTGTGTGTGTGTGTGTGGTTGTGTGTGTGTGGGTATGTGTGTGTGTGTGTGTGTGTGTGTGTGTGTGTGTGTGTGTGTGTGTGTGTGTGTGTGTGTGTGTGTGTGTGTGTGGTTGTGTGTGTGTGTGTGGTTGTGTGTGTGTGGGTATGTGTGTGTGTGTGTGTGTGTGTGTGTGTGTGTGTGTGTGTGTGTGTGTGTGTGTGTGTGTGTGTGTGTGTGTGTGTGTGTGTGTGTGTGTGTGTGTGTGTGTGTGTGTGTGTGTGTGTGTGTGTGTGTGTGTGTCCTAATTACATTCTGAGGAAAAATAAATTTGTGTTTATTTTAACCTCTTGGTCCTGATATGGAAAAAAATTTAATTTCCTTATCAACGTGACATAATTCCCACGACTTTATCTAGATAGTGTTAAAGGTCTTTTCAACTTCGGTCATTAAACAGTCTAATTACAGTCTAATTGTTCCTGTTCAGAAAACTGTTTGGTTCCTGTTAGTGATATTATCGATATTATTAACACAAATATATATATATAATTTTTTTCTTTTTAATGAAACTTTACGAATTTTGAACTTTCGTAAATTTTTCGATATATTTTGAAAAATTGTAGTTGGTATAATTTTATTTTGTTATTTTTTGTTAAGTCTTTCTTTCTTTCTTTTCTTTCTTTCTTCTTTCTTCTTCTTTCCTTGCCTCTTCTTGTCTTCCCTTGTTGTTGTTGTTCTTCCTTTATCTTTCCTTACTTCTCCTTCTTCTTCTCCTCTTCTCCTCTTCTCCTTTCTTCTTCCTCCCTCTTCCTTCTCCTCCACACTCATCTCCTAACACCCATTTACCGTCACTCCCTCACTCACCCTCTCCTCAGTAATAACACCAGCCTGGGTAGTTTAATCACTGCCAGCATCTGCACGGAGGCGTCTTCATTTGCATATTATCGTCTCTTGCAATTCAGAGACGCTTCAGACTAGCCAAAACTGAAGTCTCTCTCTCTTCTCTCAACAGCTAACACAATTTCCCTCAATTTCAACAGGATTATTTATTTATTTATTTTATTTGTATATTTTTAGAAAGGATAACTTCATTAAACTGTTATATCAATACTTTCACTTATCATCACTATCTAACTCAAATTCTAAACATTGATAATAATTTTCAGTTACATGTTGGGCAATTTTTTCGGAAAATTTCTTCCCTGTGGTTTAATGAAAGTATAATATATTGTTTAAAATGAAAAAAAAATTAGTTTAAGGTAAATTTCAGTGGGTACAGGTGAGTCGAGCCTAATTAACTACCTGTAAACACCTGATATAATACTGATGACTAAATTATTTTATTGTTGTGTATATATAGTTAGTTGTCTGTCGTTGTAACTAAAGGTTGCTAATGATGCTTAATAACCTAACACCCACTATGGTAGTTAAAGCACCCAAAACAACAACAAATGTAAATAACAACAATAATAACAACATTTATCAAATCTAATAAAAGTCTTGAAGGAAAAGAACGAAAATAAATGCAAAATTACATTCACCTTTTATTTAAAACTTAAGAAAAGACACTTAAGCAAAACACACACTTAAATAACACACTTAACAGCTCTATAACACAAGTAAGGGCTCTATAACACAAGTAAGGGCTCTATAATAAAGGTAAGGGCTCTATAACACAAGTAATGGTTTATAACACAAGTAAGGGCTCTTTTAACACAAGTAAGGGCTCTTTAACACAGGTAAGGGCTCTTAACACAGGTAAGGCTCTATAACACAGGTAAGGGCTCTATAACACAAGTAAGGGTTCTATAACACAAGTAAGGGCCTTATAACACAAGTAAGGTTCTATAACATAGGTAAGGGCTTTACAAGTAAGGGCTCTATAACACAAGTAAGGGCTCTAGTAACTCAGGTAAGGGTTCTATAACACGAGTAAGGGCTCTATAACACAAGTAAAGGCTCTATAGCACATAGTAAATGGATTTTACTCTACAAGTAGGGCTCTATAACACAAGTAAAGGCTCTATAGCACAAGTAAGGGATTTGTAACACAAGTAAGGGCTCTATAACACAATTAAGGCTCTATAACACAAGTAAGGGCTCTATGACACAGGTAAGGGGTCTATAACACAGAGATGAAGGTCAAATCACACAGTAATCTATATAAGGCACAGACGAAGAATCCAGGCCTATAAGACACAAATAGGGGCTCTATATCATTGTATAACTCTAATACACATATAAGGCCCTATAATCAACACAAAAGAGCTTCTACACGTGATGAGTCTATAACACTGTTTATATCAATAATACATAAATAAGGGGTTCTATAATCTGGATAAAAGAGCTCTAAGATGTATAATAAGGCTCTTAATCTGATAAAGAGCCTAAGATGTATAATAAGGCTCTTAATCTATAAAAGAGCTTAAGATGTATAATAAGGCTCTTTTAATCTGATAAAAGAGCTCTAAGATAAGGGTGGCTCTTTTAATCTGATAAAAGAGCTCTTAAGATATACAAGGCTCTTTAATCTGATAAAAGAGCTCTAAGATGTATAATAAGGCTTTAATCTGATAAAAGAGCTTTAAGATGTATAATAAGGCTCTATAATCTGGATAAAAGAGCCTAAGATGTATAATAAGGCTCTTTTTAATCTGATAAAAACTTTAAGATATAATAATATGCTCTTTAATCTGATAAAGAGCTCTAAGATGTATAATAAGGCTCTTTAATCTGATAAAAGAGCTCTATGATGTATAAAAAGGCTCTTTAATCTGATAAAAGAGCTCTAAGATGTATAATAAGGTTTCTTTAATCTGATAAAAGAGCTCTAAGATGTATAATAAGGTTTTATAAGATTATCATATGACCGTTATATAAGGCTCTATCATATATAAATAGGATCAGATATGTAGGTAAAGACTCTATGACATCAGAGCTCTATTAGTTACAAGATAGAGCTCAGGATACCAGATCGAATCCTGTCTAAGATAGAAAGGAAAATGATTAGAAAGAGGGGAGGAGGAGAGGAGGAGGGGAGAGGGAGAGGAGGAGGAGGAGGAGGAGGAGGAGGAGGAGGAGGAGGAGGAGGAGGAGGAGGAGAAGGAGGAGAAGGAGGAGGAGGAGAAGGAGGAGAAGAGGAGGAGGAAGAGACAAAGTAAGATTGGTAAAAGAGAAGGAGGAGGAACATCAGGAGAGAGAGAGAGAAAGGAGAGAGAGAGAGAGAGAGAGAGAGAGAGAGAGAGAGAGAGAGAGAGAGAGAGAGAGAGAGAGACTCACAATAACCCTACCACACAATCTTTATAACCCTGTAAGTCACAACCCAGTAGATTATACATACAACACCTTAACAATATTCAATTAATTACAACCTTTAACTTACATATTAACCTAACCTAACCTAACCTAACCCTAATACCATAATAAACTAATTAATATTTAGAGTGTCTCAGAAAAATGTCCATATTACCCTCCCTTCCTCCCTGTATGCTCCCTGAGACACTGTGAGTTGGAGGGAGGAAGCAGAGAGACAGGGAGGAAGCAGAGAGACAGGGAGCAGGCAGGGAGCAGGCAGGGAGGGAGCAGGGAGGGAGCAGGGAGGGAGGGCCAATTTTCTGGGAGCCTCTATTATACTTTACTGTACATCAACACACTTATATGGCACATACTTGAAGTGACTAGATTAAATATTGCGATAGTAACATTTTGCATAATATCACAATGTATTAAATAGATTCAGTGTATTTGTGTGGCCATAGATTCATTAGTTGTGTGGCCATATAATGAGTAGTTGTGTGGCCATAGATTGATTAGTTGTGTGGCCATAGATTAGTTGTTGTGGCGCGATATATTTATTAGTTACGTGGCCATAGATTCAGTATTCGTGTGGCCATACTAGAATGAACACTACCATCAGAAACCACTTAAACTATCAGGATTTCAGACAAGATTTCGTAATGATAACTTTGCCAACCAGGATAATCAGAATCCATTAGTGCATGTCTCTCTCCGTCTATATGTTTGGTCTGAGTGTGTGTGTGTGGTCTGAGTGTGTGTGTGTGTGGTCTGAGTGTGTGTGTTTGGTCTGAGTGTGTGTTTGGTCTGAGTGTGTGTTTATTTCTGAGGTGTGTGTGTCTGAGGTGTGTGTTTGGTCTGGAGTGTGTTTATTCTGAGGTGTGTGTGGTCTATGTGTGTTTCTGGAATGAGTGTGTGTGTTTGGTCTGAGTGTGTGTTTGCAAATACTTATTAGGTTTATCATCATCTGCCATCACTGACGTTAACACAGGTGAGTTTTATAATTGTGGTACCTAACTTAATCTTGCTTGGCAATTGTGTATATTGATTTTTATTATGTATGAGTGTATGTCAGTGGGAGAGTGGGGGTGAGAGGGTTGGGCTGGAGAGGGGTGTGGGGTGGGGAGAGGGGTGGGGTGAGAGGGGTGGGGTGGAGAGGGGTGGGGTGAGAGGGGTGGGGTGAGAGGGGGTGAGAGGGGTGGGGTGAGAGGGTGGGGTGAGAGGGGTGGGGTGAGAGGGGTGGGGTGAGAGGGGTGGGGTGAGAGGTGGGGTGGGAGGGGGTGGGGGAGGAAGGGGTGGGGGTGAGGGTGAAGAGGATGAAGGGTGAGGCTGTGGAAGACCTCAGATACACTCCATCACTGTGAGTTATCTACAGAACAACTTGAACAAAATCAATTATCACCAGAGATCACCAATTTGTTCCACAGCTCAGAGAACCTCCATCAAGAAATTATGTAACTGGAGAGAAGAAAAGTGCAGTGTTACTTAAGCTTAGTGTCTCGGTGGAGGTTCCCTGAAAGCTTTAGGTCCAATGTTAAAAGCTTTAAGCCTTTACTAACGTCACAGTTGGTCGTATGATAATTAAAGATTTATATAATCCTAAAGAACAAGGTGAGAAATGTTCACTGATTTGAGAAAGTTCTTAATGGAGAATTGTTATGGAGAAGTGAGGCCAGCAGTTGAAAGTTCTACGTTAATGTTATAAGAATCATTACGTAATTTATTTCTGGAGTGAATGAGTTACTATAATGTTAACAAGACTTGACGATGATTCAGAATACAGATAATATTTACAATAAGGAGGAACTATGGTGATCTGACGCTGGTAAGTAGTTTAAGATACTCTGATACATTTGTCATCCACCGGGGTTAAGGAGCAGTTCAGTTAAATGATCTGGAAAAGGTCGACGACTAAATCACTACAAATAAAGGTTTTCTCTAGTGTCTGCCTACAGGTAAATGCTGAACAGGTCAGAGACGAGGCCCTACAGAGTGTAACATCAGGTTGCTAGCTGTGTGTGTTGTTGTGGCGGCCAGGGGCGAGGCGGGTCGTAGCCTAACAAGAGGTTGATGGTGTCAGTGTCACCTGCAGGTGACAGGTACGACGAGTCCATGTTGTCCTGGAAGACGCTGGAGTCCGAGGCACCACACAGGAGAGACACCAGCTCCGAGTCCGTGGTGGTGTGTGCTGGGGGCTGGTGGGTCTTGCTAGGGGTGATGCTGGGGTTGTAGTGGACGGGCTGGGGCTGCTGGGGGCTGGAGGAGGCTTCATCTAGGATGCTGGAGAGGACCCAGGAGCAGGTGTCCTGGTGGGCGTTACCGTCCAGGATGTCCTGTAGGGACCTGATGTAGGCGGAGGCGAGTTTCAGTGTGGTGATCTTGGTCATGTCGGAGGCTTCTCGTCGACTACACACCCACGACGGTAACACACCCCGCAGGCTGTCGAAGGCTGTGTTGATCTGCCGCATGCGGTACCTCTCCCGAGCGTTGGCCGTCTTCCTGCGGTACCTGGAGAGTGGCGGCGGCCGTGGCTTATGTCTCAGTGTGTCCTGGAAGTTCCAGTCACTGTCGTAGAAATGTCTTGCCTTAAGAGACCTCGGACGTAGCTGGTACTTCACCCCAGAGGCTCCAGCCCTCCTGCTGTTTACACTCTGACAGCTGTTGTTGTTGACGGAGTTTCTACTGGTGCTGAGATCATGACCGTCTTTGTCACCACCACCACCAGGGTGGATGTTGGTACCACCATTGTTTTTGTTACTGGCACTGTAGTTGTTGTTGTTGTTTGTATCCACTGACTCCCTCAGGCTCACGTCCACCGAGTAGTCCAGTCTGAGTCTCTTTGCTCCAGGAATCATGGTTCCCACACCTCCTAGAGACTTACTGTTAATACCGAGTCTCACACACGCCTGCACTACACGCCACAGATCTGTTCACTCTGATCTATAAGTTCATGACGGGTTACCCACGTCATTATGGTCATCTGGAACAAAACCAACAAGAAATGACGACAAATTCTCATGCATCGATCATAATTCTGGAGAAAAACCGATATTCTAAAATCAATATATATCCATTATTGATCTAGATTATATTGAAACGTCTTGTGTTTACTATGTCCGTGAATCATGAGGCGGTGACCAGGAGATAAGCTTGCTGATGCGGGACGAGATTGGACAGGTGGTAAACTCCCGTTAATTGGGTAGGTGAGGAGAAGCGCTGGAGCAACACGACCGTCCACCCACCACCACGGTCGCCAGCACACTGAGTGATCTAGGATTCTGAGACCTGTTAAACCCTCCTCATCCACACACACACACACACACACACACACACACACACACACACACACACACACCTTCTCTCCAGGGTGTCACCTGTTTTTGTTCATTTCCTGAATGATACCTGCCTGGAGTGTTCTCTTTCGTGTATGACTTTAATCTCTCTCTCTCTCTCTCTCTCTCTCTCTCTCTCTCTCTCTCTCTCTCTCTCTCTCTGTTTCTCTATCACCTACCTACATAATCACAAACACAGTCTTCCAAAAAATCACATTTAGGTTAGATTAGGTCAAGCTAGATTAGGTTAGGCTTTGAAGTTAGGTAAGGTTAAGTAAGGTTAAGTAAGGTAAGGATGTTTGATGTGTGAACGATACGGGCGGGGTGTGTGTGTGTGTGTGTGTGTGTGTGTGTAGAAGTAAGCACCGTGTGGGATCAGTGAGGTGGTCTGCTCATTAGCTCAACACGGGCACACTGTGTCCTTGCCACTTACACCTTCACTGCCATAAAGCTTTCCTTTCACTCTGTTGATGATTCTGGTATTTAAATCGTTGTGTGTGTGTGTGTGTGTGTGTGTGTGTGTGTGTGTGTGTGTGTGTGTGTGTGTGTGTGTGTGTGTGTGTGTGTGTGTGTGGGGTATGAGGCCTGACACAGTCCGGCAGGTAGTGCTGTGGAAACACCTCACCTCACCTGGAGACAGATAACTGGCACATCCTACCTTACACCTTGAACATCAGTGAAAGCAGCGAGAGGAGGGTGGAGGAGGAAGGCAGGAGGGTAGGGAGGAGGGTGGGGAAGAAGAGGGTAGGGAGGAGGTAGGAGGGTGGGGAAGAAGAGGGTAGGGAGGAGGTAGGAGGGTGGGGAAGAAGAGGGCAGAGAGGAGGAGAAGGAGAAAGAGGAGGAAGAAGAGACAAGGGAAGAGGAAGAGGAGGAAGAGGGCGAGAAGGAGGAGGAGGAAGAAAAAGTGAAGGAGAGGAGGAGAGCTAGGAGGAAGAAGGCAGGGAGGAGGAGGAGGAGGAGTGGGAAGAGGACAGGGAGAAGGAAGAAGAGGAAGAGGAGAAGAAGGCGGAGGCGTAGAAGTAGAAGAAGAAGAAGAAGAAGCAGAAGAGAACAGTTTATCAATGTACATAATCAATACATTCTCACAAGCCGTAATAAACAGATAGTAATTACAACCGGTGTCCCCAATTACAAGCCACAACACAACTCAACACACCTGCATCGAGACTCGGAACACTCAACCTGTTTTTAATTACGCTTTCAAACATCGTATTTACATTTTGTCTTCCTATATAATTCTCTGAGAGTTCGCGCCCGCTGCTACCCGCCGTATGTGTGTCTAATAAATGTGGAAATTGATAATAATCGATTGGGAACTTAACTGTTATATACGCCAGCAACATGTTTCTGAGAACTGTTTGTTTTTTGGAGGGGGGAAAACATGAATATAATATACAGTATATTTAGGTGTAGTGTGTGTGTGTGCGTGTGTGTGTGTGTACCTTAACATCACCTGTCTCACCACCTGTCTCACTACCTGTCTCACTACCCGCCTCACCACCTGCCTCACCACCTGCCTCACTCACCTGCCTCCTTTACCTCACCTGTCATACCTGCCTCACCTGGTCATGTTAAGCTAGACAGGTGTGATTAATAAACCAGGTCAGATGAGGTGATAATGATGACCTTGTAATGTATATTGTGGATTAATACAGTAAAACTCTCTTTAACGGACCAGGAAGAGATAAAAGTCCGTTATATCGAGAGTTCGTTATATTTGAAACCTCCATCTAACGGATTATAAGGAGAGAGAAGTCCGCTATATGGAGGTTCCTCTGTATAGCGTCTGTGTACCACTCACTCACTCACTCACTCACTCGCTCACTCGCTCACTCACTCACTCACTCACTCACTCACTTACTTGCTCACTAACTCACTCACTCACTCGCTCGCTCACTCACTCACTCACTCACTCACTCACTCACTCACTCACTCACTCACTCACTCACTGAACTAGAACAACATTTTACTATTACCTGCCAAATGTACTTAATGAGACTCAATCAAACCTATAATTCTCAGGTGTTCCCAGAGCCTAATATGGGACCTGAGTCATTCAGCCCAACATGTTTAGATCATCCCAACATCATCAAAGATCATCCCAGCATCTTCTGAATCATCCCAGTATATCCAGTATGACCCGTGAACCTCCTGCACCACCAGGCAGGTCCCTCCCCCTCCAACACCCTCTCCCTTCCCCCTTCACCCCACACCTTCCCCCCTTCCACCCCAGCCTCTCCCGGGGTTAGGGGGAGGTTAGGTGGGAGGTGAAGAAATTGATAATAAAAGGGGGATATGAGATGAAGAAGAAATGGATGATAAGAGAAATACATCTGCTGATAATATCTTGACCAGGTTAATTGATTTGCAGGGAAGATGAGACACACCTGATAACATCCGTCTTCCAGGTATTATTATTTTTTTAGTTCGAGATTAATTTTTTTTTATTTGTGCTTTTCATTGATATTTTATTGGTGTATATTTTCTTATTTTATTTACGTCTATATTTCTATCTTATTTGCGTCTAATTATTCTTTTGTTTGTCTGTCAGGTGTGTGGTGAGACAGGTGTGTGGTGAGACAGGTGTGTGGTGAGACAGGTGTGTGGTGAGACAGGTGTGTGGTGAGACAGGTGTGTGGTGAGACAGGTGTATGGTGAGACAGGTGTGTGGTGAGGAGGGTATATTGCGTGTTATCTTTTTGCTACTACTACTACTACTACTACTACTACTACTACTACTACTACTACTTTTCCTCCTCCTCTTCCCCCCACCCCCTTCCTCCTACAAGACCCAGATAAATATTTCACGCCGACAAAGGAACAACTGAAGGAGCCACAGTGTTGATGGCTCCAGCGAGGGTGATGGTATCGTTGGCTCTATGTTCACCTGGAGATCCACAACACCTTGACACCTAATTATCTACCTGACGGGAACCATCTCTCCTACTACTGCTGCTCCTGCTGTTGGTCTGCTGTCTCCTCCCGCTACTACTATTACCGTTGTTGATCTACTGGCTATTCTTCCTTCTTCTACTTCCTCCTCCTCCTCCTCGCCCTCTTCCTCCTACTTACTACTAAGAGGAAAACTGTATCTTCAGGTCACCAGGTCTTCGTGTCCTGAGAGCTCCGGGTCCTCAGGTCTATGGACGGGCATACAGGTCACCAGGTCTCACTGTCTCCGTGTTGATGCAGGTCACGCAGGTCAGACAGGGCGTCGAGTCGAGAGAGAGATTCACACACACACACACAGACGGTCACAGGGTGTTTATGTATGTGTGTGTGTGTGTGTGTGTGTGTGTGTGTGTGTGTGTGTGTGTGTGTAAAGGACAACAAGGGGGATTTAATTAAGGTACAGAATCCCTTTAAATCTCTCCATCTACGTAAGGACATTATAGAAGAGCCCTCCCACCCATCCCACACTCATACACCCCTACCCATTCCTCCCCTTCCATCCCTGTGTTCCTTTCCCACCACACACAAGCAACCATCGACCACAGCCACCCATCCCGTCACGCCCCCCTCACTTTCCTTTCCCACCAAACACCCCTCCCCTCCTCCCTCCCCCTCCCCTCTCCTCCCTCCCCCCACACATACATATAAACACACGCCAATTTCACAGGCCTCTCTCTCTCTCTCTCTCTCCTCATAACCACCCGATGTATCGCTTACCCTTGCTACCCAGTGTCAAGATTTGGTCACACACCTGGAGGGAAGAAGGTCAAAGGTGTCAGCATCATGTGTGTGTGTGTGTGTGTGTATGTGTGTGTGTGTGTGTGTGTGTGTGTGTGTGTGTGTGTGTGAGAGAGAGGTTCCTAAAGCTGACGCTTCAGAAAGCATTCCAAGAGGCCGTCTCTCTCTCTCTCTCCTGTTAACACACTTGACTTAACCACAGGTACAGCACATAATTAGCCCTTATAACACGATTTAAGGAGAAACTGAAGATTACCTCCCACCCCCCCCCCCCCATCCATCCCTCCCTCCCCTCCTGCCCTCCCCTACCCTTCCTATGCCTCCTCCCTCACCCCCTCCTTCTCTTCCTCCCTCCCAGCTTATTTCACCTGAAGATTAACCTCCTGAACGTTACCTTTATGTAGGTTAGGCTAGAGAGAGAGAGAGAGAGAGAGAGGGAGAGAGAGAGAGAGAGTACAAACTGACCCAATACTCCCTGGCCTTGGTGAATTTAGTCAGGGTGAAAATTAATGATGGTAAGACTAATAAAATCTTAACCTAAACACAGGTACAGTATAACAGGTAGAGATAATCTTTGTGTATTGTATCGTACAGGTTAATTGTATGTCATTAGCTAAGGTGATACAGATTATAATGATAGCTGAGTTTAAACGATTGAAAATATTAAGAATAATTTGAGAGTTTCTTTGATTTGGTTAATGTCTCTTGCGTGTGTGTGTGTGTGTGTGTGTGCTGAAGGAAGATAACGAATCTCAGATCTTATCAATAATCTTTTTTATAAGACTTACTGATAATAATTTCCTCGAGGTATGTTCTAACAATGTACTTTCTCTCCAGCCAGGTGTGTGGCAGGTGAATCTCAGTAATGGTCCTCCTCGTCACTAATTTATTCGACTCAACACTTTAATGGAGTTTCCAGTTAAGGAACACAACTGAATGGTGCTTTTTAATTCCTTGGCAAAAAAAAAAAAAAATATGTACATGATCCGGAAAGAAACCATGGCTTAAATAGTCTATCTTGTTTACCGCCTGTCTGTCTGTGTCTGTCTGTCTGTGTGTCTGTCTGTCTGTGTGTCTGTCTGTCTGATGTCTGTCTGTTTGTTTATCTTTATCTACCCCATTCATCTTTTCTATATATCTATTAACTCACGCACATGCCATACATACATACACACACACACACACACACACACACACAGTGTACACAATAATACGCTTGCTGAACACA